TATTTAGAGAAAGTTTGTGTGAAGAGTAGCCTACAGAAAGAGAATTGCCAATCTGTACCCAGTACTGTCCAGGGAACAGAGAACCAAAATTCAGGGGAAATTAATTTCCCTGTCTTTGAAGAGGTCTACGTACTCCGTTGTGGATGGAGCCCTGGTGGCACAGTGGTTAAAGCACTTGACTGCTAACAAAAAGATTGGCAGTTCAAACCCACCAGCCAATCCTCAGGAGAAAGATGTGGTAGTCTGTTTCTGTAAAGACTTACAGCCTTGGAAACCCTATGGGGCAGTTCTACTCTGTCCTATAGGGTTGCTATGAGTCGGAATGGACTCGATGGCAACAGGTTTCTTTTCACTCTGTTGTGGGGCAGGGATCATTTATCAGGTCTTATCATGCATGAATGAAATATTCCTCACGATGACTCATCTCACTTTGTTCTGATTCCTCATTCACTAAGCAACTGTCCGATTTGCCTTCCAGGCATGCCAAACCAGTTGTACATTGTTGGCATGTACAATATGAGCATCCGAGTCATGAAAAATGAATATGCCTCACCCCCCCAACAAATGAATAAATACCAAAAAACCAAACCTGTTGTCGAGTCGTTTCCAACTCATAGCAACCCTTTAGGGCAGAGTAGAACTGCCCCAGAGGTTTGGGTTTCCAAGGCTATAATCTTTACAAAAGCAGACCACCACAACTTTCTCCCTCAGAGCAGCTGGTGGGGTCGAACTGCCAACTTTTCAGTTAGCAGCCAAGCACTTAACTACTGGGCCACCAGACCTCCTAAATGAATAAACAGTTTGGTTTATTTGCTTTATTGTATGTTAACTCTTGTGGACTAAAATATGTTAATCAACTCCAGGACACTGATAACATTAAGATCACCTCCTTAACTGTAATAATCATCAAGCTAATGTCCTTCTCCTACCATGCCCGAACCCCATCACTATAATTTGGTTACATTCAAATACAAAAAAGAGGCTAACAGATAAACAACAATATCCTATTCACACTATATTAAGCTCTATCTTGTATTCCTCTGAACTGAACAAAATAAAAAATAATTGCATTAAATCAGACAGATGAGAATAAATCAAAGCAAATGCACAGTTTTCTAATTTTTCTGACATGAAAATGTCTTGAAATTAAAAGCACCTATGAGGGTTCAATCCCTGGAGAAGGCCATCATGCTTGGTAAAGTACAGGGAAGACCCTCAATGAGATGGACTGACACAGTGGCTGCCAACAATGGGCTCAAGCATAACAATGATTGTTGAGGATGGCGCAGGACCTGGTAGTGTCGCATTCTGTTGTACACAGGGTCACTATGAGTCAGAACTGACTCGACAGCACCTAGCTACAACAATATGTTTAAATCACTTCAATTATCACTGACTTAATATTAATCAAGATGGGCCCGAATAATTGTAAACTGATGGAGAAAAACTGGAACAGAAGTAAAAATGTGCTCAGTAAATAACTGTTAAATGAAGTAATGAGTACATGATATGGCCAAAAAAATTATTTTAAACTCTCTTCTTTTCTGCTACTAACTAAATGGAACAGTGCTAGAAACTGAATACATTTGTTGAAACGCTGTCCTTTTTGATCAGCCTCTTCTCATTTAAAAAAAAAAAATCAGATTCTTCTTTTTTTTTATTAAAAGCCCAGTTTCAAAAAATATTGTTGATAATAAATGTTGGAGAGGTTGTGGAGAGACTGGAACACTTATACACTGTTGGTGGGAATGTAAAATGGTACAACCACTTTGGAAATC